CTTTCTGTATGGGTGTGTTACTTGTCTAAAATATCTCTGAACCTCAGAACAACAGTAGCATGCAGCTGATTGGGGAACTAATTTGGCATTAAAAAAGTAGTTTGAACAACATATAATCTGAGCAAATGTGTCTTGAAATTGTGGGCAAGCAGACAAAGCTGTACTCAAGGGAGTCAAACTCTTTTGAAGTTATAGAGGAACTATGTGGTAAATGCAGTCAAGAATGCAGTTTGAAACATTCAGACAAAAATAGGGGACACAAGCTGCTTAGGGAAGGAACTGGAGAAATGCTTCTTGGTGCTTACCCTGAACTGACAGAGGAGTCTATTCCTCTGCGGAGGATCAGTTTCAGCAGCGCAGGCTACTTCTCATTCACTGTGCAGGGGAGTGAGGGAGGGAAGTGCATGTTCGCTAATGAGGTTTTTCACAGACCCCTCCTCGAGACTAGTGCTGAGTGGCAGTTCCTCCCCTGCTAGCTGGGGCTCCAGTGAAGATACCACAGCTTAATTGGAGGGCGTAGAAAGTCCATAGCGCAGCAAGGAATGGTGCCACTGCTTTTCCTGCATTGTGTGCTAGCTCGCCGGCTAGGGCGCAGCACAGGGCGTGCAGCATCATAGTCTCCTGCAGGAACATAGCATTGCCTGTAGCCCCTGCTTCTAGCATGAGGGACACACACGTCAACCGAACAATGCTGAAACCATCTGCACTGCAGTAAACGTCTCAGACATGAATTGTCCAAGTGCCTCATGCTTAAAGGAACAATTTGCCGTAGCTACTTAGCTTTTCAAGTGCCGTAACTCTTGCACAGGCAGGCTCACGTCCCAAGAGACGGGATTCCTCAAACAGCCTGAACTTAACGACACCACTCATACTTGCAGAGCTCTGTTTGCTTGCTTCGCTTCTCACAGAGAAGCTTTCGAGTAGAGCATGCGCTTAGTCTGCCTTGCAGGGCAGCACTCTTCCTTTACCTAGAATGGGTGACCTAGGGACTGGAAGGAGGCCGCTGCGCGAGTTCACTGGCACGAACACATTCCAAAATTCTGGTCCCTGCAGCCATACTAAATTACAAACGTACGGTTCCTGGTGCACAAGTTGCTTCAGTACTTCACTGAATTGAACACTAGCTAGCTTTAATTACAGCAATCCAAAAACTATGTCTGGTATTTGATCTCTCGACTGACTGACATACTGTGTGGTTATGCTCTTCTCCACAGGCATCAGGTTATTGTAAATAGACACTGAGGAGGTGTTAGACTAACTTATTTCAGCACATGACTGCAGTGCCATGTAGGGGTTGACTATAGTGAGGCTTTAATCTTCATTAACACATCTCCAAGAATAGTCTGTCTGTGTACCAGCAGCTGCCTCTCTGCCTTGTTTGTTAATACTTTATACTGTATAATTCCAATATTCCTGACTTTTTGTACCTTCAATGACAAGTTGTGGTAAAGCTGTTATTTTTGTTACTGTAGCAGTGTACACACTGCTGTTTGTACTGCTGGTTCACTTGATTTTACACACAATAAAACAAGCTGGATTTCTTAAACTGCCTTCTTTTCACATTTAAAACAACGTTGCTTCCCGCTTCAGCGTCGTCTTCCTGCCTCTCCCGTTCAGTTGCCTCAGAGCAAGGGTTGCCTTTTAAACATGTGGCTGCCCACGCAAGGTAGAGCAATGAAAGGGCAGTGATGGCATGAGTTGCAGCAGACAGTACCCAGGTAGGGGGGTCTCACAGGAAAGAGGCCTGTCATCTGAATTTGGCAGAAATCCAGGGTTGGAACAACCCTGCCTAATCTTGCAGTTGAACTGACGGTTTACTACAGCAAGGCCCAGCAGGTATTACTCGCCACCCTCTCCCGTAAGTACCCTTCCCCTCCTGCCTCCCTTCCTTGGGGGATGTCCCTGTTTTGACATCTGCTTGGAAGGGGCTACAACTGCTTAGTTATGGCCCAGAACACTCAGGAAAGGGCAAAGGCTTTAAAACGCATCGTACAAGTTTTTAATTCTTAAGTTGTTGAACCCAGCCCGCGTGGAGTTCTCACACCGGCTGTTCTTGTCTTGGCAGACACACCTCTAGGCACTTCCCCAGAACCAGGTGTCAATAGCTTGCTATTTAGTGCAGTAAAGTCTCACACTTGATCTGGGCTACTTATCTTAGCACCTTAGGGAAGAAAAGCTGAGTGACAGAGGAGCTGCTCAAGTGAACACATTGGCTGAACTTACTAAGTGCAAGAAAGCCACTGGCTGTTATGGAATGCGTTGCAGGACTGGGGTGTCCCTTGCTACCCATGTCCAAATAAGTGTCAGCAGCTTGTCCTACTTGTACAGCCTGGTTTGGACGGGGGAGGCAAAGTGGTTGGATCCTGCTCTGTGCCAGAACTACCTGTTCCTCTGTTACTTTGTTAGCATTGGTTGTATTAGGGCCCTGATGGCAAGGGATTTTGCTGTCCTGGGTTCTGGCTCTTTGGAAACTAGCATAAAGGAGACGCAGCATAATTGCACCCATGTTAGAGCAGTGAGGGGAGCTGCAGCTAGGACAGCCCAAGCCAGGCTGGTTCCAAAGTAGCTTGAAGAGGTAATCTCTTCCCGGGTCAATGGGTGCATAGCGTGGTATCCTTTTAAGGCATTTGGCATTCAGGGGGATGGGAGCTAACTGCAGTCCCTGGCGAAGAGGAACAGAAGTGCAATAAGGCCAACCCATCCCATGCTGGTGTCCACACGGGCCAAAGGCCTCAGTCAAAAGGCTCATATCCTCGTGTCCTGTAGAGGCAGTAATGCTGGATCATAAATAGGATATCGAAGACAATGGAGAAGAGGCCCAGCCCAAACTTGGTGGGATCTCCAAAGATCAGCTTCCATTCCTCTGAAGGAGAGAAATGTCAAGTGAGAGAGCTGCGTGGTCAGGCCCGCTAGCTGATCCCACAGTCCTACAACCTGGTCTTGGCCCTTATCAGTAGCAGTAATAGTTATGCAATGCCGTTGTCATTATTATTTGAAAGCGATGAAGTGTTAGTGTGACAGCTGAGACTGATCAGCTGCACTGAATCTGGTCTTTGCCATGCCATGCAGTTTGCCCAGTATGACAGCTTAAAGAGGTGCCAGCAGGTAACCATAGACTCATGCGTCATGTCAGAGCACAGCTGGCCACGTAGGCTGCCAGGTGCAGCTTCCCTGTCTGGGAACAGCACTGCGATGTGTGCGAGTGACTGCCCACCTGGTGGCAGGTTTCTCTTTAGAGGGAACTAGTACCAGACCTCTCAGCTCTGCTCACCGTTGTTGTACGACTGCAGAAACATCTGAAGGAGGCTGAAGCTCCCACCAATGAAGTCTAGCAGCACGTTTCCGATGCTCCACCCCACCGTGCTCTGGCGACGAAAATTCAGGTATGCCTAAGAGGTGAAAACCAAGTCATTAAATTCAGCGTATGTGCAGCGCTCAGGTCAACAGACCGCTGGGCCACTGTTAGGGCTCCTGGGGACCACGGGCACAGGAAACTGGCCACTTCTGTTCTCACCCATAAAAGCCAGATGGGATTGCTTGATTCTTTTTGGGAGAGGAGGCAGATTTTCCTGCTAAAAACACTCAGCTGAGACAGAAAATGCACGCTGTTGTGACCTTTGCTCAGTCTATTTGCCTTCTGTAGAAGCAAGGTTTCTTCAACAGTAAATAGCTTCCTACATACTGCAAAAGGGCACTAAATCATCTAAGGTATTAGCAGGGAAGCGATCAATTAAGAAGGGGGTCCCTTTAAGTCAGCTCTAGTCTTAGCATTCTAGGATTATATCCTGTGCCTATTAAAAGGTAGCCTGCATGGCTTTTCCTGCTCTGTTATGTCACCTGAATGACACCTAGCTGCCACTAAGGTACAAGGAATCCTCAGCACCTGGTTTTTACCTGTGGAAAATATTTGATCAGCGTGACTCCCAGTTTAACGTACGAGAAGAAGAATAAAAACTGTAGCCATGTGATCTGGTCAGCCGCAGCTAGAGACAGCATGGTGAAGGTGAAGATCCATGCAAGTGCCAGCAGCCCAACCACAATTTTGGAGACTTTCTGGCTAGCTCTCTGAAAGACACGGACATAATATACATCTGCAGTCTGTTACACCTGGATCCCTGATTTCCTCCCTGCTCCAGCCCTTCCCTTAGCATGTTGGGCTCCGCACAACATGCGGGGCATCAGCCACGCACCCCTGTGCTACTAGCCAGATTGTCCCCTCTTCTTGCAAAACAACTGCCTGGTAGCTTATGGAGCCTGCTACGCAGTGTAACGTCAGACCCCAATTCCCATGGGAACACTGAGAGCCCTGGCACCCAGGCGGAAGCAGGCACAGGCTCTGCATGGCTGTGGGAGATGTGCAACTGGCTCTTTTGATCAAGTTTAGGGTTCAGTAACAGAACCTGTGGGGCCTTATGCTCTTGAGACAGGTTCTGGGGCTTGGAAAGCTTGCCAGATCGTCTTTACCACGTGCTGTACTGGTGGGGGGTGGTATTTGGCTTTGTAATAACGGCCTCAGTTTCTTGCAATTAGGGGCGTCCCTTCCTCTCTCACAAGGACAGGTGCTGTGAAACGAGGAGTACTAGCAGCTCAGGGACAAGGCAGCCGGAAATTGGAACGTGGCCCCCATGAGGGGAGCCTGATGGTCTGTGGCATCTAAAGATAATTAAGGAGTTCAGCCAGAACCTGGTGACTTGTCAGGCTCCAAAACCATTTTGACCCTGGTGCCTGATTGTCTCTCTCAGGAGAAGTTCCCACACCTGGCACAGTGCTAACAGGTCATTAAGCTGCTGATTGCACAGGGAAAGGGAACACCCAGAGCAAAGTGATCTCTCCATTCTCCACCCCAGGCAGTGGGAAAGAAGCAAATGGTCACCTGACAAGGGGGGGGCAGAGGCTATAGGATCTGGTCTCTTCCACAGGAGCAAGAAAGACCAGGAGCAGAATGCTGGTTGAGGAGTGGGTTCTGGGCTGTCGCACAAGACTCCAACTTAGGCCCATGTGGTGAGCAAGCTGGGATGGGAAATGCATGTGAACAACTCATTCTGTTTAGAGCAGAGCTTCTGGTGATAGCTAAAGCGGGGGCAATTGTTTCTGGAGCCCTTACACACTCTGTATTTATGTGAAACAAGCCGTCGCATGGCCCTAAGGAGGGAACTTGTAAACCCAGAGCACCTACAGGCTCTGGCAAAGAGCATGCTGCAGTCACTGGGGAGTCAGCATCAGCTCTAGCAAGCCAAGGCAGCTGGTCTGTGAGGTTCTGTTTCCAGTAATACGAAGGAGAGGGAAGAATCTACTTTGCCCAGAGGAAGAACACGCTGTCCAGGGGGTGGGGCCCAGCTTGGAGGCTCTACCAGGGCTGAGTCACTTTTGTGGAATTTAAGTGCCAGAGGCAACACTCACCTCATATATGCAGCACTGAACAATGATAAACAGCGTGATAGCTACTGCATGAAGACTAAAGAAGACATCGCTGCTTTCCACAGGGTTCACGCCATTGGGATACTGATGTAGGAACTGCTCCTGAACAGAGGGAAGCAGGCAGGTCAGCTCCCAGGCTCAGTTCCACAGGGAAGCTAGTGTGGCAACACAAAGGGCACTTACCCTGATGGCAACAATCCAGAAGAGTCCCACGTTAAATACGCTGTATGCTATGAAGCCAGTGAGGTTTAATGCAATGAAGTCAAAGCTCAGCCCAACGACACTAACAGGGAGAATAAATCAGACCTTGTTTTTAGAGGAAGGAGGGAAAGGAGTCCTCAATATACAGAGCAGCAGGGCCAGGGCAACAGAAACCGAGTTTTCAGTAGTAGAAAGTGCTAATTAAGGGTTTCTGGATTTCCTAGAACAAAGAGTGCAACCATGTTGCTTTTTAAAAGATCCCTTTGTGGGCTGGGAAGTGGAGGTAGGCTGCCCCTCATGTGGAAAGCACCAGCAATTTGATGTTTACAAAGCTGAACTCCCAAAGGAGGGAGCATATGCTAGCTGCACCCAACCCCAGTGAGTCACACAATAGGACTGGCCTTGGAGCAACTCTGCCCCTGCCAAGATAGGGCACTCTGCTGCCCTCGTGTGCCAACAGAGGTTCTCCACTTGTCAAAGGCCATCACTTGTTTGCTTGCTCAAATAGCTCAGTTTAGAAAAGGAGTTCAAGGAGCTTCCCCAATAGGAGGCTGGCAAGATAAATCTAGTGTTCAGAGGCAGGCAGTCTGCACAGCAGGGCTTAGATGAAATGCAACCTGCCTTCCAAGACAGTGGAAACGTGGTGCAGGGCAAGGAGTATACCCTACATTAGATCCAGAGGCTGGTAGAACATGTGAAATCAGACCCACGCCAGCCTGTCATGGAAGGTGATCACTAGGACACAGTGGAGCCACATCTCTTTGCGCTCTCCCTTTCCTCTTCCCAGAACTTATTCACAAGAATTGAAACAGATGCACGTGTGAATGGGGGTGAACTGCCCAAATGCACCTTACTAGCTCTGGTGAAATTCTAAAGACCGGGCTCCCTCTGGTGTCTAACGGGAGAACAGTCCAGGCTAACTCATCACCCAATCCCCTGACTTCAGTAGCACTTTGCAGGGAATGTTTTGTACAAGTTAAGGGCTTCTGAGCTGCTGCTCTGACAGGCCTCCTAAGCAAGGACTGTATTACTAGGGAATTCAGCTGTTACTGAAATCACATTTGCTCCTACACTAATACCTTGCTTTTCTTTCATGGGGACCAGCTCGTTCATGGGAGAGGAAAACTGTCCCACCCCACCCACAAGTCTTTCCATACAGTGACGTTTCTTGTAGAAAGAGAGCTGTGAAATGCACTCAAATATCCCCTTACCTCTTCCGCCGACAGTTCTCAATAACCTGTGGGTAGAAGGAGATCGACCAGGCTAAGAAGTAGATCCAGCCAATCACCTGGTCTACGTATCGCAGTATCTGACTATGAAGCACCTGAAAGCAAATCCTTGGGCTGGAAAAGAAATTGTGCCAGTCAGTCAGTTTGTACTTGTTGTGACACATCTCTGCATGCTACTAAGTGCAGCAGAAGCAAGCTCTAGAGCGAGTGGATCCCAGTCCAACACAGCACTGAAGATGTAGGGTAGGTTTAATAGAGCTTGCCCCTGTGCACCCCTAGCTCCCAGCCTCTGTGCCCTTTCTTCCTTCATTTTCCCCCTTCCCCCCATCCTCCAGCCTTCAGAAGCCTCTTGTCTAGCCCCCATGTTTCAGTGCCTCCTAGCACAAGGTTTCTATTGTGTAACTGATGCATATCACCCTGTGCTCTGTAAGCAAGGCCTTGCAATGTGGTGCAGCCTGTGCTCTGGCCTGTCTGACAAGATGGGGTAAGAACTGTGATCAAGAAGCCATGAAAAGCAGAAGCAGAATGAGGAAGCAGCCATACTGCAGCATCCTGCAGAGCTGTATCATCTGGACAAGCAGCAGACACAAGTCAACAGTCTGTTCCGGTATCAGTTCCACCTGTGAGCACAGTTCCCCTCATTAACAGACCCTCTAAGCTACAAGGGGTTTCTGGATGTGCCAAGTGCCAGCGGCTCCTCATGAACCAAGTGAAAGCTGTGGAGGAAGGGATGGCTCTAGAACATGACTCCACGAGCGCACATGCAAGACCTGTACAGCAACAATGCGGTAACCCAGGGAGATCTCCGAGCAAAACAGTGCCCTACTCAAGGCACACTTGAAGCCTGCATGTGTGGGTTAGAAGATGCTGTTGAACCCCAAGCTAAAATGCTAGGGGAGGGTAGGTGCTCACTGCTCCACTATTCCAATATAAATGCAAGATACAGAAGCTAAGTGGTACTGTTCTAATTACCCAAGTAAAACAGAAAGCGCAAGAGAGAGGAACACACACACCATTTATATACCCCAAGGAAAAGCGAGGTGGTGGTAGGTGGCTTGCTGGCAGGAGAGGAATGCTCTTACTCTTTTAGATGAGAGATGCAGATAATGAGGAATGAAATGCAGTTTCTCACCCAGTTTGGTTGGAATTACTGGTATGAAGGTAAACTGTAACTTGGCCAACGTCTTTGGCTTTCACTTCAAAGGTTGAATTAGTTAACCCAGCAGGGAAGTCTACCTGTTACAAAAATGAAAACTGGATGTAGTAGTATTCTCCTGATACAAAGCAAGTCTACATCAGAAATCAGTGCTGTTACTTACTTGCCTGGGTAGTTCAACAATGGTTCCATTCTTGGATGAATAGGTAATGTTAAAAGTTATCACCAAGGTTTCATTCAGTGGAGAACTGTGAAAATGGAGAGGGCAGATTAGGCCTAAGTGTGCATTAAAGGAGGTGTCTAGTCTCCCTGGGAAAATCTTCATATTCCACGCAAGCTTATCTTGGACAGTCTACATGTAGTAGCTTCTACCTGGTCACCCACTGTGGTACCAACATTATGGGACTCTAGAAATGGAGGCTATTTTTAAGTGACTGATAAAGCAATCTGAACTGACCATGGTCCTTGCACGTCTCCCTTCTTGCAGACGCAGAAGTTCTTTTGAAAGACGGATACACACTGCTCTAAAGCTTGAAGTCTCCCCATTTCTCCATCCACACAGCAGCCCTCCACCCCTCCTTGCTGCTCCCTCATATCAATACAGGCAAGTACTTGACTTCTGTTTCCCAAGGGAAAAGCTTGTATAACTTAGAAAATGGGCCACTGCACCAAGGCAAAAAGTCTCCATGGAGACTGAAGCATGCGTTTCAGCTCTGAAGTGGTTGTTTTCTGTGCTGGGAGTGGACTTGTATAATTAGGGAATGTCTTAGGATCCTTCTAGACAAAGCATGTTATTGTTGGTCTCATGGGGGGCAAGAGAGATTTATCAACGAGTCCATCACCCTGCAAATGCCGAATTCAGTCTGCCATTAAAGAGAGCGTTGGACCCCTCTGGCCAGAGTCATTAATGGTGCAGCTCCCGAGTGGTGTCGGGGACTCCTCTGTGGGATGGACGCTCATCCCTGCAAGGCCTCTGCATCTCTTCAGTACCACTTAAGGCGTAAGTCATACTGAAGGGGTAAGTCACGGGGTTGGATGGGTCACACAGTCCGACCCGTGGCACAGAGGTAAGAGGCCCTGTTCCTAAATCAGCCCACCCACACGCCTGTCCAGTCTCTTCTAAAAGACCTCCAAGGGGAAAAACAAAAAAGTTTGTGTGACAGCCTCAGACAGCGAGTCCTACTCCTCCTACACTCAAAAACTTCCCATGAAATTTGAGCCAAACCTGCTGTCCTGCTGCAGGCAGGACAAGGGGCAAGGGGTTTAAGAACGAACGATTGTTTTCCTGGTTTACGGCAGCCATTCAAAAGGAAACCTTCCCTTGCCCGTGCAAGGAATTGCACCCGTGGTCTGGCCTGCCGCACGCGGGCGAAACAAGCAAGCCCCTCGTCCCAAATGTCGTCGCGACGGCTTGTGCAAAATCCTCTCCTCGGGTCCGTGCCTGCAGGTTTCTTGCATCCCCTCAAATGCAGGTGAAGAGGAAAGGAATCGAAATCGCCTGTCAGATCTTACCGTAGCGTCACAGGGACGTTTGTGGAGCTGCCGTTCTCGAGCGTGACCACGTCGGGGACAGACAGCCCGCTGGCTCCATCTGGGAGAGAGGACAGAGCTTAAACGCGCTTGTCGAGTCCGCGGCTTCCCCGAAAAGCGCAGGCCGGTCTTTCCGCACAACGGGAGCGGGAGACCGGGGAGAGCAGGCCCGCGAGCTCGGAGGGTGGATGAGGAAGAGAGGCGACGGCGCGGAGGAGGCGAGTCTGCGTCACCTGAGGGAGCGGGCGAGAAAAAGACAAAGTTGGAAATCAAGCGCGTCGGGGCGGACGGCAGCATGCGCGCGGGAGATGAGAGAAATGTGGGGGGAAAGGGAAGAAGAAGGAAGAGGTTGTCTGGGGGCAGGGAGGCGCGGGGAGCTCGGGGCCGGGCAGGATGCGACCCCGCGGGCGGCTGGGCGCGGGCACGGCTGTACGGACCGGTCACGTATGGACCGGCCCACGTATGGACCGGGCGGTATATGGCCCAGGCACTCACCGCCGCCCGCCGCCGTCCCGAGGGCGATCCCGAGCGCGCAGAGAACGGCCCAACTCATCGCCATGGCGCGGAGCCTGCTCCCCTCAGCAGCGCCGCCGCGCGGACTACCGGTCCCGGCCTGCAGTGCAGCCCCACGCGGCCCGCCCCGGGCCGGCGGCGGAGCATGACAGGACCGGTAGTCCCTCCCCCCACACGCCCTTCCTGTCACGTGACCGCCCCCTTGCGGCTCGCCCCAGCCTCCATCTTGAGCGTGGCAGCTGGGCCCGCCACCCTCTCCCTCCCCCGGCGCGCTTGGCCACGCTCAAGATGGCGGGCTGATCTTCCCGCGCCGCCATGTTGGGCCTGGTCTAGGCCTGGGCCTTACCCCAGCTTGCGGCCTTGAGTAATCCAGAGCCAGCCCAGGGAGCAGAGCTGGGCGCGCGCTTCTGACAGGCAATGGCTGCTTATCTGAGCCTGCCCGGCCTGGCCTGTGTGCTGGGCATCGACCTGGGCACCACCTCGGTCAAGGCCGCGCTGGTGGTGGCGGGCGAGAAGGGGCCTGTGGTGGCCGAGAGCTGCTCGCGGGAGACGCGAGCGCGGGTGGACAGCCCAGTCACTGGCGCCCAGGTAGGCACTGCTGTCTGTGACGTCACCCTGGTTTTGCCTCGTGCCCCGGGGCACAGATCAGCTGCTTGGGGCAAAAGGGGAAAAAAGCAAAGCATCCCTGGGGCGGTGACACGTGCTCGACGTCTGGGCGTGGAGACGTCTCTGCTGCGGGACGACGCCAAGGATGCGCCGGGCAGCCTGCACCGAGGAAACGTCTAGCTTGCACTACTGCCACGTTGGCAGCGGTCATTTAAACATGTTTTTTCCCCCAAGTCGGGGAGTCGTAGCATGCGGGTGGCCCCGTGCACTTTCTGAAGTGGTGCGATGGTTCGTCACGGCTCAAATCCAGTGTACAGGCATCTCCTGGGAGTCCAGAGCAGCGGAGAGCCTGTTGGGGCTCAGGTTTTATACTGGCGGGAGCTTTAGTATTTGTTGCAGCTTGTTGGGGAAGAAAGATCCTTTACCTGAAGTAGTTTCAGGGTAAAATGTAACTCCAAGAGAGCTTGGCTTATATGGAAATGAGAAATGTGACGCTAGATTTGGCTCTTATGTGGCTGTTGGTATAACAGACCATAAACCGCAAGAGAAACAAACCTACGCGGGTATATCTCTGCTCTTCGAGCCCAGGATTGCAGTGTGTGTCCTTTGGCTTTTGTGGGATGAAAAGTATTGAAAAATGTAGATCTAGGTAATGACCCTCATGAACTGTGTCCCAGTGCTTTGACCCTTGATGTGATGCTTTCTGCTTGCAGGGGATGGAGCAAGATGTCCAGAGAATAATAAGAGCCGTGAACGAATGCCTGGCTGCTCTTCCTCAGCAGCAGCTGCAAAGAGTGACCCGTGTCGGTATTTCAGGACAAATGCATGGGGTTGTATTCTGGAAAAGAAATCAAGGTAACGCCCACCCTTCGGCATACTTGCTTCACAAATTGTAGTGTTGAGGAGAAGTGGCATCAGTTGTGGAAGGTGGATCTTAATGTGGGAGATGATTTTTCTATTATTATTATTATATTTTTTTAGCACTGGGCTGATCTGGAAAAAGTTGGCATGTGTTCACCTTGACTTTTATAAAGTGGAGTGATCAGGAGATCCTCTGAAACATGCATGTCCTGTGAATTAGCATAGTCAGTTGTGTCCCGCCACCTCTTCCACTTGACTATGTTCTCTGGTGAATGACTCCATCAGGTCTTTGTAAATCTTTAAGAGAAGCAGTCCCGGTGAGGTCAGCTGCGGTCATCACACGAAGAAAGGTTACATTTTTGGAGATGAACAGTTGTCTGTCCACCTACCGTGTGTCTGTTGCCAGCCAATATGGGCTTCCTGATCACTTGCAATGCTTTGTTTTTAGTTCCTTCCCATTGGGAGACATTTTTAACTAGCTGTCCTGTGAGTTGTCTGGGTACTTTCCAGTAATTCCTCTTTACTTGTTGTATGTGCACCATGAAAAGTTAGACAGAGGTGACTACCTGTATGGAAGTGAGCGTAGCATTAACCATAATACTCTGCATAGCACTGTGGTTTTACCAAAGCTTCCAGCGTGAAAGGACAATACAAGAAAATGTGTAATTTCACAGAAGGTTATTTAAATCAGTGTTAGATTTAAACCTTCCCCCACTCTTCCAATATTAAACAAACTTGTTTTCTGGTAAGGCAGAGATGACTGCAACATCGTATTTTTGTCTCCTGGTTTTGTGAGCATTTTGGAAGTGGCAGTGACTAATGTCATTTGTAGGATTGGGGTGGGGATAAGTCATTAGAAACCAAATCATATGGGTCTTGATCTTGCCTGCGCTCTTATGTGTGTGTAACTGTGTGCATAGGTGGGCTGGCTTGGGGTCTTTTGATTGTAAACTCTGCACAGAGCAATCATGGAATAGATTTCTTTTTTTCTGGAGCCCCGATACCCCATTTCAGAATCTGGTTCCACATCTTTATTCCTTCTGTAACTCATGAGACTTGCTTACAGGCAACAATGCAGATATTAAGTAATGTTATTAAGTTGCTGAGGTGAAGCAGAGATTCCTTTTAAGTTATAGAACTATTTCCAGAAAGTACTGGTCGCTGCCTGCCAGATGTTGTCCAGATCTTAATTGCTCTAAGAGATGGTGAACTATTCATTACTGGCTGTGATTTGGTTTTTAAATACTAAAGCCATCACCAAGGACTATATCCAAAGGCTGATGGACTGGAGGGTCTGTTGCTTGCTTTCTAGTTCTCCCAAGGGCTGCATAACGACTCCACAAGTCCATCATACGCCTACATTTTTGTGTGGTGGTCATTAATATTTCATTTCATAAAGCCACATGTCACTACTTGTTTTGTTTTTTAGTTCTTGTACTCAACAAAGTGAAGGGGAGTGTTTGCTCTCAAATCATCTTAAGTGGCCTAAGTGAAGCCACGGACACACCCTAGGTTGCAAATTGCATTTTTAATGGCATCCTTTAAGGTTAGCCTTGTGGTTAATAATATTCCTTAGAACCCATTTTAAAACTAGAAAAATAAACAGATGAGAAATTGGAGTTGAAAAAGATTTCAAAGAAGATTTACTTTGCCCGCTTTGCGTATTACTGCACCTTTCAGCTTTTGTGCAAGGCTGCTTTACAAGAGTTGTGCAGAGTTCCTGATCAGACTAGTGAAGACCACGATCAGTGTAGAAATGATCCCTTTTTAATGCTCTGCCACCTTAGCCTCTTCCAAGGTGTTTAGCTTTTGGGTGTCAGATCCTCACCCCTGCTCTGGTTCTTTTGTGCTGCATCGCGGGACTGCAGTAGTGTCATGGGGCTCTCAAGGCCTTACCCTAAGCTGTGGCCTTCTGGCCCCAGCTTGGTCACAACACGGGTCTGTTCCTAATTCCTAACCAAACAAATGCATTCTGTATAGCGTTCTTTTTAGTTCAGAAAAGGGTGACCAGCATTAGGGGAGGGTATTTGGAGCTGGAAAGTCTGAAAGTTCGGTGTGACTATAGTCACTGCTTGCCCATGTGACGTGCATAACACGGGTTCCCCAACCACCTTGGCTTATGGGAAACTAGACTGAGCAAGTGATGCGTGCAGTGAATGCCCTACATTGCTGTCTCCATCAAACTAAAGACGTGCCTGTTGGTAGAAAGCAGAATTCCCTGCAGCCATAAGCAGTGTTAGGTGGGGTCTGAACCTGTTGCCTGTGAGCCACTGGGTAGAGACTGCTGGTGCATAATTTATTCCTTTGGTAATGGGGATGGAAAGGGACCTGGCAAGTGGGTTAATCTGCAGGGCTTCTCAACCACTGCTTATTCCAGGTTGCAACTGGATGGAGAGTGGAACAGGTTCTACCTGGGAGCCTGCAGCGGTCAGTCACCTGGTTACGTGGCAGGACAGCCGGTGCAGCCACAGCTTCCTCTCTTCTCTTCCTCAGCCCCAGTCGCACATTAGCTTGGCCACAGGATTCGGGTGTGCCACCATCTTCTGGTATTTAAAAAACAAGTACGGCGCTGTTCATTCAAGTTCCTGTATTGAGCTGTTTCATTAGCTGTTTTTTGGCTGGAACTCGAGTGACAATCCTGTTCGTGCAGAAAGTTACTGCCAGTTCAGAGTTGGCTGCTGTCTTTCTACCTAGGTGTCGTAATGCGTTGTCTGGCGGAGACATGAGAGAGGAACCAGCCCTCCTCTTAGTGTTAATTAAAAGGCCCAAGATTGTTTCAAATGGAAGTATTGAATACAGACTGCACGACTGTGAGAGACCTAATTCTTCTCATAAACATTACCACAAAATGCTTAATACCTGAGCAGAAAAGTTTGCTTTTCTTAACAGAAGCCACATCAGTTAATACAGTTCTACCACAGTAGTTATGCCTTGGGCAGAGTGGCTTTGCGTGTTTATCGCAATATCTAATATGTGAAGGGTTGGTTTCAGCTGGGTGCTAAGAGAATGATCCCTAAATTAGCCCTAATATCTGTAAGAGATGCACAGCATTCCAGCAAGCCTCTGCTGAGGTCCAGCATAACTTGGCATCAGCTGCTACTTGGGATGCAAGCCACAAAACCTCTGTGTTAGATTTTGAAACTGTTTCATCTGCAGAAAGTTGTTATCTCTCTGAAAGCGCCAACACCATCCTGAGCAAGGAAGTCCTTTATGAGAGAGGAGCGAAAGATGGGTTAAGTATTGACTCCTTCCAGAAGTTTGGGTAGAGAATATTTGGAGCCTGCCTGGATCTTTCCAGTGCCCAAGTTGTTTTGATTCTTTCCTTATGTAAAAGATGCCCTTGCTAAAGGAACAAAACTGATTTTTACTAACATTTAAGAAGCATTTAAGAGTCGCTTCTCATTGAGTTCTACCTAATACATTTAACCTCCCTGACAAAGATAAAGACAGGCATAATACTCAAAGCATATTACATTATTAATATTATTATTACTATTCTGTAAGGATGTCAAGAAGTTCTATTGGAAAGCAACAGTTCACCCTAGAACATTAGCAGTTTTTCTTCAATGAGCAATTGTTTTCCCCGGCCACTCACTGTTTAAATCCTTCTTTCCTGGACAAGTTCAAATAG